GTTGTGAGTTTCAGATGTTTTAATATTATTATTTCTAATTCACTTTACCATTGAGTCAAAAGATCTTACCTTTTGCAAAGACTCTTACATGTACTAGTGGAATTATAGTTTTATTATTATGGCACTTTTCTAAACAGAGTAATAATAATGCTTGGTTACACAGTAGCCTGAAATAAAAGATATGAAAATGAGAAATAAACATGATAGCAGAACAACACATACAGAGGTACGGGCAGGAAAAGAATGAAGGGAGATCTCTGAAGTCTTGTTAATGTTTGCTCTTTGCTGTCCTTGAGCTGGAAAACTGTGGATTCAGCTGCTTTTTGCAGGAAGACAAAAGAAGAGTCATTTGTTATTGTTTTCAGTGTCATTTGTGTCCATGTGAGGGACAGATGGAATCCAGATTGAATCCACTAGGGAGTAGTGTGAGTGTGTGTGTGAGAGTAAACAAGCTCAGGATGCTTGAATGAGAAAATGCCTAATGCACCCGGCTCAGCGGTGAGAGGGAGAACAAGAAGGACTGAACCGTCATGCAGGGTTTTTGTATTTAACAGGGATGTAGTGACACTGAAGTGAGTCCAGGCAGGAACACAAATCTGCGGAGACAATCTGTTTGCATGGCAACAACGAATGTTTGTAGTGCTCAGAGAAATCATTCGACACCAGTACAGCGATTACCTCGGCCAAGGTTACGTGTGTTTGTTGAGCAAGACTTCACACAAACAAATGAACAGTTTCCTAGAAGCTTAGTGCAAGAAAGTATTTGTCAGGAAAGAGTTGAGGTGGATCTAGATCAGAATTCTTTTTTCACTGACTTTGATTTAAAAAAAAAAAAAAATCAGGTGTTATTGGGGAACTGACATTATTAGAGAGTTTGGGTCTGTTGAGCCTTGGCGGAGGTGTGAGCTCGACTAAGTGCCGCTCTAGTTTCACATCGTTTTGCCCATCGTCCCTTTGAACAAAATTCAAATGGACACAATACCAAAAATCTGAAAACCTCATCAGTTACATAATCTAGCGTTAAGCTTGATAAACATATATATATATTTTTTTACTTCCTCTGAATTGACTCATAATGACACCCACACATACAAACATGCAGAACCACAGGTCCAATCATTCAAAACTAAAGCACCACAACTAGTGATATTTACTGATGTGTCTGTTTCTGTCTCCGGTCTGTGTGAATGTCTGTCCACAGTGGGGACAGGAGTAAGGCCTCTCGCCCGTGTGTGTCCTCATGTGAACGTTCAGTTTGTCTTTGCTAATAAAGCGCTTGTTGCAGCAGGTGCACGAGTACGGTTTGTCCCCCGTGTGATAACGCTGGTGCATCTTCAGCTCCGTCATGCGTCCGTACGTCCGGCCGCACTCGGGACACTCGTAGCTGGGCCGCACCTCCATGTGCTGCCTGCTGTGAAGCCGCAGCCCGCTCGACGACCTGAAGCTCTTGCTGCACTGCGAGCACTGGAAGGGTTTCTCTCCGGTGTGGATGCTGACGTGCAGCTTGAGGCTGGCGGCGGAAGGGAAGCCGTTGCCGCAGATGGAGCAGAGGTGAGGTCTCTCCCCCGTGTGGATGGTCAGATGTTTCTCCAGCTTCTTCTTGTTCAGAAAAGTCTTGCCGCAGACGGGACAGTTTGACGGCAGCTCTCCCTCGTGTTCGCTCATGTGTTCCGTCAGCGCCACCAGCGTGGAGAAGGCGGAATCACACCGAGTGCAGGAGAACGGCCTCTCTTTTTTGAATTTCCTGTGTTTGAGACGGTGCTGCTCCAGATCTTCCTCCATCTCAAAGGTCTCGATGCAGCAGGTGCACTGGTGCGGCCTCTCTTCGCTGTGAGTCCGCAGGTGATACTTCAGCGCTGTCAACTGTAGAAAGACGCTGTCGCAGTGCGGACATTTAGATTCGCGCCTGTCGTGAACCAGTAAGTGCCTTTTGTAGTGAGACAACTTGATGAAACGCTTTCGGCACAACGAACAATAATACTGTTCGTTCTGGTGAACCTGCTCATGCTTCTTCAGCGCGTACTCCACCTTGAACTTCTTCCCGCAGGTGTTGCAGGCGTACGTCTTGTCGTGAACCTCCATGTGCGTCTCCAGCTCCTCGGGACTGTTGAAGGTTTGGTCACATTTCGGGCAAGTCCCATTGTTTTCCTTCACGTGAACCTCCAGGTGTTTGTTCAAGTCTTCTGGGAAGGCAAACTTCTTGTGACAATCGGGGCACGTGAAACTCTCGCCGTTTGCCGCTTTGCGATGGGTCTTGATGTGGCGCTTCAAATGGTACAATCGACGAAACACTTTGCCGCAATCGCCGCAGATGAGGCTGCGAGGATTAGTGTGGACCTTCTTGTGCAGTTTGAGGTGACTCACGAGCGCCGCCTTCTCCTTGAACTGTGTATCACACGCGAGACATTTCAGACCATCTCCTGCGTGAGTCTTCTTGTGAGTTTTCAGTTCCAGCCAGCTGCTTGAACTTTTCCCACATTTAGAGCAGATGTATTTTCCCGAGCCGTGCTGGTTCCTCACGTGTCGGGTCATGTGGTAGGACTGGCTGAAAGTCAAAGAGCAGACGGGACAGGTGAACGGTTTCTCCTTTGTGTGCGTCCTCATGTGTCTGGCGAGTTTGTTTGGACCCCTGAAGCGCCTGTCGTCACAGATGGGACAGAAATGACCTTTTGATTTAGCCTGAGAGGCGACTTTTTCCTTCTTACCGCCTCCATCTTGAGATATAGCGACGGAGTCTTCCTCCATCTTGATATTAACTTCGCATCCTTTATCCAAAGTCTCGACACAACCAGAGTCTGAATCATTGTCAGCAGCGTCATCGTTGCTATCGTTACTCTCGTTGTTCTGACTCGAGTCGACTGTCACTTGGTGAATCGCTTCATCACTTCGCTGTAAACTCTGTTCCTCTGTCTGCGGAGACTGGGTTTTGTCATGCGACACCATGTGACTACGAAGCGTGTCATCGTTTGTGAATCTCTCACTGCAATCGGGACACGACAGGATTTGCTTGTGCGTCCTCTTGTGACTTTTCAACTCGGCGAAGCTTCCCAAACTTTCCCCGCACGTGGAGCAGATGTGCTGCCCGGCACCGTGCTGGTTCCTCAGGTGTCGGGTCATGTGGTAGGACTGGCTGAAGGTCAGCGCGCAGACGGGGCAGCTGAACGGTTTCTCCTTCGTGTGCGTCCTCATGTGTCTGCCGAGTTTGTTCGCATCTCTGAAGCGTCGGCCGGTGCAGAGGGGGCAGTAGGGGCCCTTGAGTTTGGCTGAAGAAACTACAAAGTCATCGTCGTCCTCGTCCTCGTCGTCCTCACAGACTTCCTCCTTCACCATCTGCGACGATGACGAGGCTTCAATATCATCATCACCTTCATCGCTGGGTCCATCACAAGCCGGAGTCGTCTCAGCAGCACTGTTGCACTTATCAGTATCGCTGTAGTAGAGCTTATCGTTGCTGTAATAGAAGTTGTCTTTGTGTCTAGATGGTTTTGTTTGGGTTTTAACCACGGGCGGTTTTGCTTTAGTCCTCGTCTCGCCCTTCCTCGGTCGCCCTCTTTTAGATTTTCTTTGAACGGGAACTTCTACATCATCTTCAATGGCCACGCTGACCTCATGAAAACCGAACCCTGCAGATTCCACCTCTTTGCCGATTAGCAACGCTTCGGCCAAGGTCAGCGTGTCCTCCACCAGGAGAAGCCTCTCTTTGAGCTGCGGGTGGTTTGTTTTTGCAATCAGCTGATCCAGGAGACGTTTTTCTTGCGAGTCTCCGTAGTTACAACGCCACAGCAGTTCCTGTAGCGCAGACACAAACTGATCCACGGTCTCTCCGGGCATCTGGGCCCTGTGATGGAATTCGAGGCGGTACATCTGAGCAGTCGGGTCGGCGGAGAAGAAACCCGTCAGCAGCGAGACGGCCTCAGCGTACGTGGCTTCGCTCCGGATCAGCGACGTGAAGACGTGCTGCCCCTCTGGGCCGAGGCAGTTCTGTAAAAGGTCGCACTTACTGGAGTCCACCAGCTCGTTTTCACCGAGCGCCTCCAGGTAGCGTTCGAAAGATTTAAGCCACTTGTGCCAAAACATGGTTGGCTGACCGGGGGAGGGTAGAAAAGGCGGAGGTGGGGACAGGATTATCAGCAGCGGCTCTGGAAGCTGCTCCGAGCTGATCTCCTGTTTGTTCACCTCCTCTTCTGCTTCCACATTCACATCGCCCATCGTTAGTTTGTGTGGGTTCCGCACAGGTTTAATTTCTTCTTTGACTTATTACTGAAGTGACGATCGTCTTTAGACTCCTGATGGTTCATCGGTTCATCAGGAAGCTGCGAACGAAAAACAGGAAATATGTTTCAGGATCGCTTTGGAAAGAAATGTTCTCAGGTGTGGAGGGTTCATCTGACCCAACACACAGGAGGGAGAAGAGGAGGAGAAGAGAGGAGGAGAGAGAGGAGGAAGACAAGGTAGAAGAGAAGAGGAGAGGAGAA